TGTGTGTGAGAGAGAGAGAAGTGGGGAGGGAGACTTAACTGGCTTATTGAACAACTAAAGATAGAAGCTTTGCCTCTCAAACAGGAATGAGCACTTTTATGAAGAGAACTTGGTTTTCATTTTCACATACTGTCTGCTGGGACAATGGTGGGGATTCAGGTCTAGTCGAGTTCCTGCAGAAGGCAGGAACAGGTCTGAATTAGGTTCCTGAGGGCATCTGGGGCTGCCATGGTTACCCATGTCTTTTATCAGATTGAATATACACATTAGAGAGCTGTTCACATGGAGACAAAAGAAAGGATTCGGGAATGTGTTATGGTAGTAACAATTAGCTTTGAAACTTGAAGCAAAACTTCAAGGTCTGCAGGTTAATACTGAAATGTCAGTGATTTCTGTTGAGGCTTTGAGTGTTCAGTAATTTTATTTCCAAATGCGTAGAAATATCTATTTCTTAATAATACCATTTTTTATATTCCAGAGATACTGTTCATGGTATTATTTTTTTGTGTGTGCCAGGATGGCGGCCTCAGGGCGTGATTGAACTCCACCAAGCACTTCCTCTTATTTATTATCCTATGATCCTAAAGCATAAATAAGGAAACAAGACTATGTCAACCCAAGTTGTGCTGTTATTAGTCATACACCAACTAAAAAGCATTCAGCATTTTATATAAATATATTATCAACACTTCATTGGGATGTTGTTTTTTGTTTTATTGAATGTTGTTTCCTCTAGTTTTTTCAAAGCTCCTTAGTCCCTCTGTGTTCTGCTATAAAGTGGTTTTATTTCTTACTGCAGGCTGTCAAGTTTGAATGGAACCTTGAAAGTCCTTTGGTGGAACTCCTACTGCACCGCTCCTTGCAAAGCATCCAGGTGGCTCACCGTCTTTACTGGTAAGATTAATTAAAACAGGTTAGGGTGCCTTTTTAATTGTCAATTTTCCCGTGGAACAGTCATAGAAGATTTTTTTTCTTTGTCATTGATGCAAACCTCAACTTAAAATTCAGCCAAGTTCAAAGTTATTTTTATTTATGAGTATAATTTAAATATCATCGTTTTCAGAATGGACAATTGCTACCGTTAAACAACAAGTTAAACTCACCCAGAACTTTAATCTGGAAGATCCTTTCTCTATAGTTTTAAATCACTAGTGTTTGTGGTCGTATCTCCTCATTGAGGACTGCAATTTAAAGCTAGCTGTAAGACTGTGAATGCCTTGGAAGAACTTATGTTTTGAAAGTATTTTCTGTGCAGTTTCATTTATAAACAATGGAATCTCATGGAAAACACACACTATTTCTGCTGAAAATTCCTAGAACAGTCAATTTTTCTCAAGCATAAATTTAGAATACTATTAGTGAGGAAACAAGAATTATTTAAGAGATATCAGAATTTCTCCCATTATCACCTACTCTTGATCTTATGGAACATGAGGCTATTTGCATGCAATGTTTGTCTACTTTTGTTTTTATTATCTACCTTATAGGTTCAGTTTCAAAATATTAATATTACAAGTGTCAAAGACCTAGGGATGAAAAATGGATCTTTCTTTTGTCCTCTTGAATGTATGACAGCTGTTAATTTACTTGCTTCAGTTGCTACTTAAGAATGTTAATTAATAGGAAAACATCAAGTCCTCATCAGTTTGGAGTATCATATTTTTCTGCTTCAAGAAATATTACTCATATTGAGCTCACTCTTACCAGGAAAATGACTTAAGCATTTCATAGCAGAGGAGACACACAAAAACTTTCAGGCACCCACATTTGACCTGTTATCATTTTCATTTTAAATGCTTACTTTAAGAAGCAGAGCATTCCTCTAGTATGTAACTATTGTAAGGCATTGGATTTATTGACTAGCACTGGCCCTTCACTGAATAGACTCTCATCAAAGCTCTGGAGTCTTAGCCTCTTCAGTTCCTCAGTTAGCTGCTGAGGGGAGTTAAGTGGATACACTCTGTGGTGTCACACAACACGCAACAAGGACTCCATTAGACTCCATCTTTACTTCCTTAAAACTCAACTTTTTTCCCCCATATGTTCTTAAAATGAAAACATGATCAGGTGATAATCTCAAGTTTAATATTCAAACCAAAATACAGCATCAGAGTATATAAAGTATAAAAAGATAATATCTTTAAAAAGGCTTATTAAAGTTAGAATGCAATATTAAGGATTTATCCAATTGATGAATGGTTGATATCATACTTGTGCAGCCTTAGCTGTACCTCCATCTGCTAAAGTGGTGTGGAAAGTAGAGTCATTGAAAGGCAGCCCTGAGTGCAAAGTTGTAGATCAATGTCATACATTGTAAATACAATTATGTCATTGTTTCTAAGGGTTGAGAGGATAGCCTTTCTCATCCTTATGAAAAAGACCATTTCTCCTCTCACAGATTCAAGGAGTAAGATTGAAGGAATAGAAAAGAAATTACAAACGAATTTCTTATTTTTGAGGACTGAGTTTATAAGAACAAAGAAAAAGGAAAAGGAGGAGATGTATTGAAGTTTCTACATCTCTTTAAAAAAATAAAAATTAAGAATTATGGAATGTGGACAAAGCATGAAATAATATTATTTATATTTAAATCATTATGGAGTTAAAATCGCAGATGTCAAGGGTCATGTGTGGAAAGTGTCTTGTGCAAAATGTCTGAGCTAAAACTTCAGAAGATGATAATTAGGACCCTTTTAAAAGAGCAATGGCCTGTAATATAAAAGAAGGGCGGGGGGCAAGCAAATGCAGAAACCCATCAACCATCACTTTATAGTGAGTTTTTTTTTTCACTTGAATGAATTACTTACTGATTCTTCAGAGTCAATATATTAGTTCAACACTCTCAATATCTTGCTCTGTTCACCTAGGGTTTGATGTCTTCTCTGTTCCCCAATAACACAAGCAATTATTTACCAAGCCTTATTATTTACCTATGCTTATTTTTTACCTTATTATTTACCTATGCTTCCTGAACAGTCTCCCCACTCCACTACTCCACCTGCCACTGTCGCTGACTAGATGGTTGGTTCACCAAATGTTGAGCAAATAGGCTTAACTTAAAAACCATCTAGACACTTGGTATCACTCTGGGTAGCCTTTCTGAGATGGGAAATCAGCTTGGGTTTACTGCCAGTCTTCTCCACTGGAAGGGTTAATATAAAATGAGCAGCTCCTGTTTTCTAAGAAAAGAGAGTTAACAAAAAGCTTCAGATTTGGAAAGTCTAAAAGCTTTACCTCTTTGCCGGCACCCTGAAAGGTGGCCATACGTGGCAATTGTAGCATTTGGAGCTTATGCCTATAGGCTCCTATCCCTATTACAATCAATTATTTAAGGTTTTGAGTTTAAATTCAGTTCTGCTTTCCATTTAAGATAAGAACACAATTTAACTGATGGTGAGGTTTTGGGTTGAATGGTGGCCCTCAAACAAGTATGTTCACATCCTAACCTGAGGAAACTGTTCATTGTGACAGTATGGAAAAGGGTCCTTGACGATGGAATTAAGATAGAGATTTTGAGACAAGTTCTCCCTGAATTATCACAATGGACCATCCAATGACAACTGACCTCAGGAGAGGTAGAAGAGATGATTCACACAGCAGAGAATGTCATGAGAAAAATGGAGACATGGATTGTAGAGAAACAATCCCCAACCCTAGGAAAACCTGGAGCCTCGAAAGTTGGAAGCTGCTCCCCTAGAGCTTTGGAGGAGGCACGTCCTGGTCAATGCTTTTATTTCTAATTTCTAGCCTCCAGAGATGGGAGGATAAATTTTTGGTTAGCCACCATTTTTTTTTTTTTTTGGTAATTTGTGCAACCACAGGAAAGACAAATTGACTAGGATGTCATATCATCCAGGAAACTTTGACCCTCCTCCTAGCCACCATCTGAAATTGTTTGGCTCCTGTTTCGTATCCCACCGTGTACTGTACATGATTCTGCCCAACATAGTCTCACACTGCCTCCATATCTCCACTGGTCTGTGCATTTCCCTTTCTCATCCCTGCAATGGCTAATGACACAAATGTGCCATGTTCGTCTACATATGAATCCCACCACAGTGTTTGGAACTCAATAGACATTTTTTTTAAAATGTTTGAAAACTCAGAAAGTCATAGGACCATCTTTCAGGGCAGCAATATTTTCACATTATGGCAATCCCATGGAATCTGAAATTACCAGATTGCTTGAGGCTCTGTGAAACCCACTGCTGGTGCCACAGCCTCATTGCTTTTGCCTGGCTGCTGCATCCACCCCCAGCTTCTGTACTGACTGTTAACCAACTGTCGCCTCTCCTCTGCAGAACTATCCTCTGCTTAAGTAGCCACCTGGCTTGGACAATTGGAAATCTCCATGGGGCAGTTGACATTCCAGAGATGCCCATAGATGGAATTAAGGCTAGACTTGACCTGAGACCTCCTCTTTGTTGATTTCTTCCCTTCTCTACAATGCTTCCTTCTCTGTCTCACAGGTTTTTTCCTAAAAAGTACTTTTTGGTAAATTATATGCACTGAGATTTCTATCTTTTATGCTGTTCTGGGAAACCTGACCTAAGATAAATACTTCTTAATGCAGATGACAAGTTTAAATCCAATCACCTCTTGGTATCTGCTGGGGATTTGTTCCAGAAACCAGCAGATACCAAAATCAGTGGATGTTCAAGGACCTTATATAAAATAGTGTATTATGTGCATATAACCTGTATATATCCTCTCATATACTTTAATCATCTCTAGATTACCTATAATACTTAATATAATGTAAATGCTATGTAAATAGCTGTCATACTGTATTGCTTATAGAAATTGTGACAAGGAAAAAAGTCCTTGCATGTTCAGTTCAGACAGAATTATTTTTTAATATTTTCAATCTTCAGTTGAATCTGAGGATGAAGTAGAACCTGGGGGTAACAGAGGGCAGAATGTTTTTAATAATCGGAGTATGCTATAAGACATGTCCTCAGTAGATCAGCAATATCTCAGTTTTCACACTCTGTTTAGTAATGAGATTGACTAAGTTCCATGAGAAAACCAATTTTAATCAAAGTCTATATGGTAAAGAGTTGTTTTGTAGCATAGCTATTCTTTTTGACAGGTGTTATTTAAAGTGCATGAAGTAAAACTCTTGAGTGTCTCCTTCAAAATGTGGAAACAACATGGAGCTCCTATTTGAAGCTCTATTGGTGCAGGGGGTTATTTTTGTTGTTGTTTTATGTACTGCTATATCATAAGCACGTAGGATGGTACTTGGTACTTTATAGACATTCCATAAATTACTATTGAATGAAAGAATTTGCTTATGTTGCCGGGGCCCAGATGTACACATGCAGACTTTTGACAGAAGGGGGCAGAAGAGAGCTGCTTGAGCCCTAGATGATGATCAGGAAGTGCCAGAGTGATTTCAGGAGACCGGCCCCATGAGAAGTAAGCAATGGATACTACCAGAAAGGCAAAACTGGAGAGGAAAGATAATTTGAGCAGAAGTCAGGGACTGACCGAAGTCAGGAACTAGGACCCCAGAACAAGCTGATGCTGTAGTGTCTGCTATACCAGTGGGAGAACCAGAAAGTGAATTAAGTCAGTGATTCTTCTTGTAAAGAAAGGACCCACCAGCTTTGATATGCTACCCAAGATGATACCAAATCTGTCCATTCATTTTTTAAACAATCTTCCCCAAACTCTTTTTATCTAGAAGTTGGGGACAATTTCTCAAACCAGGGACTACTTTAAATAAAGCAAAATAATGTGGAAATTTTGCATGGTGTGATTTGAAGTCACACATCTTCCTCTCTCCTCCTCCCCAAAATATGTCTCCCCTGATGCATGAAAATCTCATTTATGAGTCACTACTTGAGGTTAATAATGGTTGCCTCCCAGCGATTCTCTTCTAATATGAA